TTCGCCCTTCTCTTCTTGCTCAGGAGAGCCAGATCACAGCTGTTTTCTGCCGGAACAATATTCTGTCTGTAACACTACCGCGCCTTTTTTAATTAAAGTATCCCATTTGAATCTTTTCAGAGACTCCATTTAGTCTCATTTTAAAGCTTCTCTCCTGGACGCGAGAATAAAGAACATATTTAACACTAGCCTACATTGCAAATAAGCAGACAGCGCTGCTTTTCTCACGCACGTACACACACACACACACACACACACACACACACACACACACACACACACACACCTTGCGTTTTGAAGACTGATAAATCCGAAATGGATGAACAAACTTTACAGCCCAGTTTCCCAGCTTTGCAGTCTATCCACGGGTATGCCTCTTGTTTCCTCCGCCACATCTCCTCCGTCCATACCTCTGGGAAAGGTGCGCTTGAGCTAGCCAGGGGAACGTTGCTAGCGCAGCTAACGTTAGTGCTAGCATTATCCACGTCTTTAAGCGGCTCTTTTGATGATGTAGTGCTAGTAGCAGCTTCACTTGTAGCTTCGGTGCTGCTAGCCTCTTTCTTCTTGTGAATTATATTCTTTTTAGAAAATAAGTCAAGTAAAAAATGTTTGCCTGTAGGCCTATACTTCCCATAATTATAGAGTTTTTTCGTTAGCGTTCTTGAGGGAAAGAGCTGCCGCAAAATCGGCGGGCTGCGAGCGAGCTGACACCCCCAGCTCGCCGCGGGGTCACGAGCGTGAATCATAATTTTTTAAGGAAATCGTTTTTATTTTTTATTATAATTACTGTGAAATGTATTATGTTTTTGTCATTATTAAAACAAATACACAACTGATAATACTGGCAATGATTTTATATTTATTAGACTATTCAAAAAAAGATCATGCTCCAAATAAGTGGGGGTACGGCGTACCCCCGCGTCCAACGCCCACTACACCACTGATCGGCGTTGTGTTAGCTAACAACCTCTGAAAATTACCAATCAGAATCGAGTATTCAACTAAGTAATCATATTAAAAAGTATGGTGCAGGATTGAGAGTGCTTATCTATATACAGACGGAAGGCATTATTATTTGATGTTGGCATAATTAACAATGAAATCTAAAGTTTAAAGCAGTGAGTGAAGGGTCACAACACTGATATCCATTATATGAACACACAAAGCGACAGAGCTACTGATACCTGACTTCATAAACTCTCTTCTTCTTCCTCTGTCTTTACAACATCTTGTATCTCCCTCCCTCTCTCCCTGCCTCAGTGTCTTTTGGTATGCTAAGCAGCTGCCTATTTATAAATCATTGTGAGAGAAAACATAGTAGGGGACAAATAACAAATGCCCCATGTCTGCAGAGTTTGAGTGAGGAGAGATGGGGATTGTCTGCACAGTGGCTTTCCTACGAGGCATGTCACCCAGGTCGAATAGATGTGCATACCATTATCTTTCCCCAGTACATGGCGATAATGATATAAGACAGGGTGAGGGAAAAGAAAGGAGCCATTGTGCAGCGAGGCTGTGAGCCAGGAAGCGTGGCTCGTAGGCTGAGAGCCAATTTACTGATTCTCTGACGCACAAGAGTGTACACTGGGGAGCCAGTTCACTGCTGCTGAGGCATATGGTGGCCTGAACTCTCGAAAATAGTGATAATATTTGTAATAGTTTCATTCAACATAAACATTGTATCATCAATTAACTGGAAGTGGAACAGTTCTTGACTTGCGTTACGTTGTGTTATCTGGTGCAAGTGGCAACACTAATATATGCCATTGTCCCCCACCACAACGAGGCTGGCCATTTCAAAAACTGCCAAACAAAAGAAATATAAACATTTAATGAAAATACAATTTCCACAACAAGCCACCGTATTTCAAAAACATCAAATGGTCGGGCAGATTTGTTTAATGCACCTATTGTCTCGAGTGCCCGAGATCAATTTTGAATAACCTGGAAAAAGATTGTCTCACTATTTAATTTATGTTTTGACCTTAAATTATACACTTTTGTTGTATTTTGTCTGCATTTGCTATTGTCCACCTGTTTTAACTAAACCTGCTAGCATCAAAACAGGAAGGGAGGGGTAAAGTAGCTGCCCCAAATCCTGTAAAAAGATAGATGAATGTAATAAAAGCTAGCCAAAGTTACAAAGGGAAATAATTTCAGAGGAGTTTATCCATAATCAAGTTATGACATTTTAGAACTTTAATACACCTTTAAAAACAGAGAGAAACCATTGGGCTACGATTAAAGAGCATGTCATTATGGTTCTGCTATTGATGTGATTGTGGCAAGATACTGTTCCTCAAACAGACTCTGGATGCTACCCCCATTATGACTAACTTTATTGAATTACATTTTCAATCAAAACAACGTTTTCCATGAGATGAATAGGTCTCATCGCAAACATCCCTTCATCAAATGTGTTTCATGGTGAAGTTTTTGTTAATTATTACCACTGCAAAAAAAGTTACGTTTCCATTTTCTTTTTTGTTTGTTAAAAAAAGATAGTTTTTTGGGGGCCAAATAGTTTCTACGGGAATGTGTTAAATCCTGGGCAAAAGAAGAAAGCACTTTGAAACGTATCAAAATCACGGGGCGTATAAACAAATCGTCTCTGACTTTTGCTAATTTTGCAAGAGACCTTCTAACAGGGCAGGAAGTGAAAAAAGGACATGTTTTAAAGCCCCTACAGGCAGTGTTGGTCAGCTTCCATATTAGAATTATGTCGAAGTTCCATCCATCCATCCATCTTCTCCCGCCTATCCGCGGTCGGGTCGCGGAGGTAGCAGTTAAACTCCAAGTCCCTCCCGGATGACTGAACTTCTCACCTTATCTAGGGAGACGCCAGCCACCCTGCAGAGAAAACCCATCTCGGCCGCTTGTATCCGCGATCTTGTTCTTTCGGTCATGACCCATCGTGAGGGTAGGAAGGAAAATGGCCCGGTAGACAGAGAGCTTTGCCTTCTGGCTCAGCTCTCTCTTCATCACAACGGACTGGCCATCGGGAGGACCGGGAGGTTTCCCGATGGCCTGGCCTGTTAAGTGGCCTGCTGGCCTGAGGATTCTTTTTTTATACGTATTGTGAACGCAACGCTGGCATAATATGATGTGGCCTGCTGACATGGGCCCTAATAAACACACAAGAGCTAAAATAATAGCGTGTTTTAATCAGCTCCCCAGAATTGCGGTGGACTGGCAAGGCCCAAAACAAATCCATGAATGCTGCAGGTGTCCCAAAATAAGTTGGCTACGATATGAGGCCGGCAGTAAAGAAACGGCACGCACCCTGTCCAGACTAGCCGATCTGGGCAGAATTAGCAATTTCCAGGAAAATAATGAAAGATGTGATTGGTGTTCGCACTCTCCGTTTTCTCCTTTTCTTCCCGAAGAACAGCAAGCGCTGGCCGTTTGAATTAGTGTGGACTAAGCGCTAACAAAAAACCCAAACAATGATTCCTTAATTGTTACGTCAAGGCTAATATACATTATAATACGACTAAATACACCTGTTTAGACTGGCAGCATAACTGGGGCTACAAATCCGCCTCAATACCGGTGAGTGAATAACTTGAAGATGGTTATTGTTGTCTGTGGGCAATCAAAGGGGAGACATAACTATGTAATTATGGCCATGCAAATACAGAGGGTCAACTAAAGTGATAAAATAAGTGTTGTTATATTAACTATAGTACTGGATCTCGCCGTCAAAAAGCTAGCCAACTTTGGCTAGGCGCTACGTGAAGTAAATCTAGGCCATTATAAACGAGTTTAATGAAATAGTTCTGCTGAATACCGCGTGAAGTCAATTGAAAAATAAGTTTGTGCTCCCTCATTCTTTTTTCCTTTGCTAAAGGGTGGAGAATAATAAGCCGCCATAGTCCCCGGTCCTTCAAAATCAGGGAAGAACACACAGCGCCGAGCACAGAGGAACCTGTCAGGTTAACATGGGCAACTGCAGTCCACCAAAGTCGGGGACCATGTTAATAGATATTAAGTGGAGAATTTTAAACCACAAGTAAAT